TGGAGGAATAAGAATTCTCACCCTTTGCTGGTGATAATACAAAGTGATAAGACAGCTTGGCAGTTTTTTACAAAGCTAAACATGGTCTTCCTATATGACTTAGCAACTGCATCCCTTGGTATTTACCCAAATGAGTTGAAAACTTATGCCCACACAAAAACTTGCACATAGACGTTTGTGGCAGTTTTATTCATAATTGCCAGAACTTGGAACCCATCTGGACATTCCTCAGTAAGGAAATGGATAAATAAACTGTGGCATGTCCAGGTACTGGAAAATTAGTCAGTGCTAAAAAGGAATGTGCTAACAAGCTTCCCCTCCCCCATCCCCTACACACAGACAAAAATGTGGAGGAACCTAAAATGAATATTGCTTAGTGAAAAAGTCAGTGAAAAGGCAATGTACTACATGAGTCCATCTGTGTGACATTCTGGAAAAGGCAAAGCTATAGCAATAATAATAGATTAGTGTTTATGAGGGACTTAGATGGATGGATGGGCCAGAATAGGAGGGATAAGTAGATGGCTCACAGTTTTTCAGGCAGTGAAACTATTCTATATGATATTGTACAGGTAGATATATGTCAGTATGTATTTATAAACAAAACAAAAAGCTCTGATACATTACTTTGTTCACCAGAGATAAATCAGAGATGTGTTAGGATGAGAAACTGCTTGTTGGTTAATGCACATGCGCACATCTACTTTGCTCGGTCCCCATCAGTCTATCATGTTCCAGCACTGCTTATCTGCATGTGGCCATGTGTGAACACACTTGCTGAGCTGATGAGGGCACAACTGAGGGAAAGCAATGGTTACTGTGGCTGCTAGTATCTCTTGGCTACCCTGTCACCATGTGCTCCCACATTGCACCCTGAACACACTTCAGCCCGTTCGTGGTCATTACGAGTAGACACTTCTGTCTATGCAATCCTTGCTTCTAATTTTTTGGTTGGATTTTATTAATTTTCTATTGCTATATTACAAATGATCACAAATTTAGCAATTAACACACTTTTTTTCTGAGGTGGGGTCTCACTCTGTCACCCAGGCTGGACTACAGTGGCATGATCATAGCTCACTGTAGCCTTAAACTCCTATGCTCAAGCAATCCTCCTGCCCCAGCCTCCTGAGCAGCTGGCACTACAGGCCACCATGCCTAGCTAATTATTTTTATTTTTTGTAGGGCAGGGTCTCTTCTCTGTTTCCTAGGCTGGTCAAGAACTCCTGGCCTCAAGTGATCATTTTGCTTTGGCCATTCAAAGTGCTAGGATTATAAGCATGAGCCACTATGTCCAGCCTAACACACATTTATTATCTCATAGCTTCTATGGGACAGGAGTCTGGATACAGGTTAGTTGGGTCCTCTGCTCAAGGTTTCACCAGGCTGGAATTAGGAGCAGGCTACAGTCTCATGCAAGGCTCGAGGACCTCTTCCAGGCTCATTGGTTATAGGCAGAATTAATTCCCTTATGGCTGTAGGACTGAGGCACTTAGCTCCTAGAGTGTACATGCCATTTCTTGTCCTGTGGTCTTTCCTACAAGATGACAGTTTGCTTTGTCAAGGTGAACAAGAGGGTATCTCAGGTGTTTTGAATTTTTCTGACTTTACCAAGAGCCCAATCCATCTGATTAAGTCAGGCCCATCCTTGATAATCTTTTTCTTTTGGCTAAAATTCAAATGATCTTAGAATATTCATTACATCTGTGAAATCTTTCAGCTTTGTCATGTAATCCAGCCTCATCACTGGAGTGAAATCCATCAAACTCCCAGTCCTGCCCACACTCAGGGAGATTGCATAGGGCATGTACAATTGGTGGGAGGAATCTTGGGGCCATCTCAGAATTCTTCCTACCACAAGGATAATTAATCCTGTTAAAACTAATGCTGTCAAATTAATCCTCCTTGATTTTATCACACTGATCACTGCCCTTCCCCTAAAATAACTTTCCATAGTTCTACCAAGTATAGAGGATGAACTTCAAATTCATTGACCTGACATTCCAGGTCTTTCTCAGACTTGCATAAACCTTGACTCCAATAGGTCCTCCTTAATAAGCCCCTAGTTACAGGGGTTCCTCTGTCCCTTCCACACCCTCATGTTCTCTGTGTCTGCATTCCTTCTGGTACACTTTTAGGCCAAATTTGTCCTTTCCCTTCTCCTTTTTATTCAAAACCTATATAGCCTTCAAGATGTCACATTGACATCTGTCTAAAATCCTTCCTGAGCTCATCTTTGTTTAAATTTGTCCTAAGGTACAATTGTGGATTTCAAAAAATGACCATAAGCTTCCCATCCCTTTTGTAATGCAACTCCATTGCTCATCTCAAAAGTTTGGCTGGATTTCTTTACATCTTGACTTTGGGCCAATGGGACATTAGCGAACATGATGCAAGAAGATTCCTAAAAAGCACTTGTGGGTTGGAGTTTGCCTTTTTGCTGTCTTGGGAACACTACTACCACTACCAGGTGACTGAGGCTAGATGAGCCTCCCAGATGATGAGAAACATGTGCCCCAGTTATTCTGTCACATAGGCGTGGTGGCTCACGCCTGTAATCCTAGCAGTCCGGGAGGTGAAAGCAGGTGGATTGCCTGAGCTCACAGGTTCAAGACCAGCCTAAGCAAGAGCAAGAACCCATCTCTAAAAATAACTGGGGGCGTTGTGGCAGGCACCTGTAGTCTCAGCTACTTGGGAGGCTAAGGCAAGAGAATTGTTTGAACCTAAGAGTTTGAGGTTGCTGTGAGTTGTGACACCATGGCACTCTACCAAAGGGACAAAATGAGACTCTGTCTCAAAACAAAAACAAAAACCCCACAACTGTCTGGTGTTTTGAGTGATGGAGCTTTGTATCATGTTTACAGCAAATTATTTACTCTTTAAGACTACAAAGATTCCAACTTATCCTTTAAGCCACATTTCTTTTACTCAGCTTCATTCTAGTATGCTTTCTTATGAAAAGAGTTCATTATAGAACAATGATTTTCTACTGGTGTGCCACAAAAACTTTAAAAGATCATTAATTAAATTATTTTTAAAAGAAGTTCAAAGCATGGATAAGTGTTTTTTTACTCTTTTTTTTTTGATCAACATAATTTAAGTGTGCTGCAGAAGTTTAACTACAGGTTTAAGTGTGCCATGAGATAAAAAAGGTTGAAAAACACTGTTACAGATCATGATAGAAGAATTATATGTGAATCACAGTCTGGTTTTTAATATCTGGAAGCATCTATGGGAGTGGGTCATAATGTTTATCAAAAACATATGGCTTTAAAGGTATAAACAACAGATGAACAGGTAAACAAAATGTGGTATAGCTATATACTAGAATATTATTCAGCCATAAAAGGAATGAGGTTCTGGGGTGGCACCTGTGGCTCAAAGGAGTAGGGCGCCAGCCCCATATGCAAGAGGTGGAGGGTTCAAACCCAGCCCCGGCCAAAAACCACAAAAAAAAAAGTCCACAAACACAAAACTAGAGATAGACACATTCTATGTTTGGTAATGAGGCTTCTGATGTTATACTATGTACTATCTATACCTCTTTAATGAGAGAGGTATCATTATTAGAAAAATCCATTTGCTTGCCTTTCCAATAAGTCTGATTCCCAGTGACAAAAACCAGGCTGGTTCTTCCATCCATAGTGGTACCTTGTACTAAGATATGCTCTCAATAAGTATTTCCCAAGCATCAGTTTGGACACAAACCATAAATTAAACTTTTCATCATAAATAAAGATAATGAATGATCTAAGGCAATATATTAAAAGGTACCAAAGGTGCTCTAAAAGAAAACATGTGCTGTGATATAGAGGAATGCCCACTTGGCCTTTCACTACTGCTAGGACTATTGGATGCCATGACTATTGGAATTAAGGGGGCAGCATTAACATGCAACTGGAAGCTTGGGGGCAGGGGATGGGAATGCCAGGGAGACAGGGTGTGTACAGCGCTCTGCCCCAGTGGCCCAGATGGTACTAACTGCCCCTGGCTTTAGTTTCCTCATTTGTAAAAGGCGAGAGCTACCTTAGGCTGTTTACTTAGGTTTCTTCTATCCCTAAAAGAGACTTGATGCTATTAGTGCTATTTTTTTATCACAGTTTTTATGAGTTAGGTAAGTACTCAAAATGAAATGTATAATACTGATATTCCTATTTAACATTAGAGATTCCAATGTTCTCCTATTTGCATTCAGAAAAGGAAATGTGGCTTAGCTACACAATTAGGAGGACTTACTAACTCATATTTAATCAGATGATAAAAATGACAGTATGGCAAGGAATATAAAGAATAAGCAAATTACTTAGACACAAACTTCTTAGTCTTTAAAGCTAAATTCCTAGTAAGTTAAATGATTTATTACCTTCTATAGTACCAAATCTTCAAATAGATTTATTTTCTAAAATATTGGAAAGTAGGGGTTGGGGGGAATGACTCATAAATTAACCAGGGATTGTCTGGATATAATTATAAACTACCAATCACCATGATTCAATGATATTCAAACTTTTCTGAGATAAGGTATCATTGTTACTTGGGCTACAGTGCAGTGGCATCATAATAGTTCACTGCAACCTCAAACTCCTATATTCAAGTGATCCTCTTGACTCAGCCTCCCAAGTAGCTGGGACTACAGGCTCCTGACACTATGCCTGGGTAATTTTTCTATTTTTTTAGAGATGAAATCTCGCTTTTACTCTGGCTAGACTTGAACGTCTGACCTCAAGCAATCCTCCCACCTCATCGTCCCAAAGTGCTAGGATTATAGGTATGAACCACTGTACCTGGCCAATATTAAGACTTTTAAAGCTATTTTGTTAAAGAAAGGCAGAAAAACAGAAAGAATGAAAGAAAATTAGGTCTTATCTAAAAAGACTATTTATGAGACTTAAGGAACTTAGACATTCATAGCTGAATGTTCAATAACACTTTCCAGTGAAATGGTCTCTTTAAAATGTCTATAGTTAAAAAAATAGTTTAAAAAAAATTGAATGGCTTACTCTCTTGTTGGTGAGTTAGTGGAGGATTCCTTTTTTGAATCAGCGGAGCTTAGCATTTGCAAAATACAATTATTTTTTTCAGTGGATAAGGCATCTCTTTCTTGCTCAGTGTGGATTAATTTTAAGGCCTCTATTCCATCTTCTCCCTCCATCTTGTCACCTGGATTTGGCTGTGGTTCTGGACTGTTTAAAACCAGATCATCTTCACTTATAGAAACCGTGAGGTCATTGCTGCTACATGAACTTTCCTCCTCCTCCTCCTCTTCCTGCATTTTTCTGAAGGGCTTTTGTGACTTTGGGTCCTCATGATCAAGATGATCTATAAGGGAGGACATGAATAGATTATCAACTGCTAATTTCAGGAAGAAGCAAGGTAATATAGAGTGGAATTACTCATCAGTTAAAAACATGTAAAAAAATTTAATTACAGTATTTAAAAACTTAAAAAATATATGAAAGTATCACAGTGGATTTTAAAATCAGCAAACTCACTTGCAAAAATATTTCCACATACATATTTCAGAGCTCAGAAGAATAAAATTTGTTGGTAAAGTCACTATTTTGTTTCCTATAGAGATAAAATTAGAAAGATATTGTCCTTATGTAAGAACATTACCATCCAGAAAAACTAAATACCAACAAAAAACAGCAAACAAACAGCCTCTCGTCTCACCTGAGACATGTCCGCCAGCAGAATAGTTCTCTTGAGCCCACTTATTTCCAGATGCACAGTATTCTGAAACCGATATCGCAGAGAATGGCGGGTTGGCGCTTTCTTCTTCGACTTCAATATGTTCCCGTGTCAGTATTTCTGCCTCTGATCCCTCTGATCTGCGGGAACTGTCACACTTTAAATCAGTGGTTCTGTTCTCGGGACTTAATCTTTCCCATAATGGGGAATGGAGTTCAGTAGACTTTTTGCCTTCAGATAAATTACTCTTGCTGCGATATGTGTTGCTGCCTATCTCCAAGCAATGAGTTTGTTCCTTCTCAGACAATACACTGGCTGTGACTGGCGTTTTCTCACCAATCTTAAGAGATGTCTTTCCATTTATTTTGTCAGACTTATTTAAGCACTGTGTGTCACTACCAGTTTGTACTACAGAGCTGTCTGTCATATTACTGCTCGGGGCTGTCTGTTGGTGTGAATGTGGGTCAGGAATTGAAAAGTTCTTTGCGGGTTGGGAAGATTTCTGCTCTGTACTAGAATCTCCAATGTCTGAGACAGCTGACATTTGGCGGCCCATAAAGAATGTTGCTGGTTGATACAATCCTCTTGACATGGTTGTTCCTGAGATAATTCCCGCCTGCACTGCAACCTGCAACACCAAAAGAGATGTGAGTTAAACATATTGTATATGAACAATAAGTTTTTTTCCAGAAATAAAAGGAGATAAAGGAAGCATGACTACTGAAATCAGCATCTATAGTGTTTTATAAAATTCATGGCTTCCTACATAGTGAGGGGGCAAAAAAATAGTATAGCCTATATTATTTAATTTTATAACAATGATGGTTCACAAAACAAATACAGGGAAGCAACTAAGGAATATATTCAATTTTTTAATAAAGACAATTACAAAAGATGGGAAAATCAGCTTAGGAAGGCCAATTATTTCTTTAACAGATCATTTTTTTGACATAATAACTAACATCAATTTTAAATACTATCACATAAAGCATGGTGGAAAAAAGAAATTTTGCTTCATAATTAGAAAAACTCACAATAAAACTTGCCAAGAAAAACAAAAACAGACAAAATGCCATTTGAAAATACAGACCATGCCAAAGTAGTATAAAATGAAGCCACAAGTCTTCAAAAGGAAAACATATTCCTCCCAATATTTTACTTTTAATGACTTTTCTGAAGTTGGTGAGATTTTCAAATTCAAGGGTTGCTGAGCTGCTCTGATTTGGCTCATAAAAATTTGTAAAGCTTGTCATCCTTGCACAGGGGCCATGCTAATCTCTGTATCATTCCAATTTTTTAGTATATGTGTTGTTGAAGTTAGCACAGGAATACATGTTTTTGAAAAAAGAAATGCATATTTCAGATGACATCATCAGGAAAGTGAAAAGATAACCCAAAGAATGGGAGAAAATATTGCAAATCATGTATCTGATAAAGGCTTAACATCCAGAATACATATAGAAGTCATAAGCAATAAAACAAATAACCCAATTTAAAATGGGAAAAGGATTTGATATACAAATGAAATAAATATACTAAGTGATACTTAATAACATTACTCATTAGGGAAATGTAATTCAAAAGCACAAGATTCCACTTTACCCACTGTCTTAGCCCTTTCAAGCTGCTATAACAAATTACTATAGATTGGGTAGCTTACAAATAACAGAAATTTGTTTCTCACAGTTCTGGAAGCTGGAAGATCTTGGAAGTCCAAGATCAAGGCACTAGCAGGTTTAGGGGCTGGTAAGGGCCTACCTTCTCATAGGTAGTATCCCTTTGATATATGCTAACATAGTGGAAGGGGGCAAACAAACTCCCTCAAGCCTCTTTTATAAGGGCACTGATCCCTTTCAGGAGGATTCTCCCCCATGATTTAATCACCTCCCAAAGGTCCCCACCTCTTAATAACATCTCTGAAAGGGTTAGAATTTCAATGTATGAATGGTGGGGTCAGAAACATTCAGATCATAAGCAATGGCTATAAAAAGATAGGAATTTTAACTTACGATCTTTAAGATGAAGAGCACCCCTCCAATAATTAGGAGAGAAACAGATGGAAATAAAGATTTTTAGGACTTACAGGTCCTTTGTTACACAGCATGCCTAGAGGCCAAACACATGGAACCAGATGAGAGTGTAGGTAGGAGAGAGAAAAGGACTTGTACCTTTACATGGTAGAAGGAAAAAACAGACAGACAGATCCATGGTCCAACACCTTTACCGGGGCAGGGTGTTACCCAGACAGGCCTCCCATGGGCAGCACAGGAAGTTGACTTGGTGGGCTCAGAGCAGAGGCATGAGTTTAGGAGGCCCTCTGAGACGGAGGTGCTCAGTGCAGCACATCTGCACAGTCTGTGCAGAGAGGGAGGGTTGGCAGGGCTAGTTAAGCAGGCTGTGGCTAGCTGTCCAATAGAGAAGTAACCAGGGAGGAGGTGTGTGGGACAGATGCCCTAGATCAACCACAGTGAGGAAATGCAGGTGGGGAGATGGAGTGGAACTGGAACTGTGTCAGGGTGACTGAGTCCTGCTTCTGATATGAGAAAGTCCAATTTATAAACTATTTAAAATGGATGCTGCTGAAACAAAATTTTAATAATTCACTACGAAGGGCAGCAATAAGTGTTGTCAAAGGTGCAGAGAAAGGAAGGAAGAAAACATTTTAAATGAGGATTAGGAATTGCAATAGTATCTTGTTTCTGCTAAAAATGAGATGATCTGCTTGCTTTGTGCTACTACAATATCAACAGCAAAGAAATTCGATGTTCTTACAACACTCATAAGAACCACAAATATTTTAAATTAGAGGGAGAGGCACTGGAGGTTGTAATTGTAGTTATTAAAAGATGAAAAGTGAAAGCAAAGACAATTCTTCCAAGCACAAATAAGACCTGGAAATAATGCTGAAGCAACGTATAAAGTAGCTTATATTCTTGGGGAAAAAGGAAGCCATTCAGTGATGCAGGAATTGTGACAGAATGCATTGTGAAGTTGTAGGATGCTTAGACCTCATAACATTTCAAAGCACAAACAACTGCCTCTTGGGGAGAACCATAACTGTTCATCAGCATGAACTAGCCCTCAACTTCACAGAACCACTTCATGCCATACTTCAAAAGGAATATATATATACACATACACATGCACATATATATATCAAGTACAAGACGCTGTGCCAAGATGCTGTGTAACAAAGGACCTGTAAGTCCTAAAAATCTTTATTTCCATAGTATCAGTTCATTCATCCAAAGTGACTGAATATTTCTTTGCAAGGTAAAACAAAGTCTATATATGATATGTGGCAAAAAATCCAATCATTTTGAAAAAAGCTATCTTTTCTCAAACTAATTCCTTAAAAGGAAATTTCAGATGAACGTTTTTCCCAGTTAGCAAAGGTCACTGATAAACAGGATGATGTATGCAAATCATATGAAGAATAGAAAGCTATTAGAGACCTATTAATTGGATAATACCATGAAAAATTCTCCAACTTTAAGAATCATGACGTCACACTCAAATTTGCATTTTAGCCTAACCTAGTTTATATCACCAAGGCACCTGAAGAACCACAGACAGAATTGATTGAGCTCTCCATAGATAACATCTTAAAGTTATCTATGGAGATAGATAACTATCTTTTTTTTTTTTTGTGACTTTGGAAAAAAAATAAGTTAACCATTTTTTTATTTTTTAATTTAATTTTTTTTACATATACATGTGTTTATTAGGTTTCCACTTTTTGCTTCACAAAATTAAAAAGGCTTAAAACTTAATAACAATTACAATGTTTAAGATAAGGACTAGAAACAAAAACCTCGTAAAGAACGAACGAAGATGAATACACTCCGAAATCAGATGATTGCTGCATTGAAATATTAAGCAATAAAATAATAATAATTCAAAGACAGTAACCTTCACATTGTCAAATAAGAGTATGTCTATTATGGAATACTTTGACTCTGAGGTTCAGTATGAAGTCATCAGTTGACTTCTTTTTTTTTTTTTTTCCAAAGTCTCAAAAAGAAAAAAAAAAAAGGTAAACTTTAACCATTCTTTTTAAAAAGTCATTGTTCGATGCTAAGAAAGATCCAGTTTGAAATATGGAAAAATGCAGTGGAATATCCACACCATTGGCAACATGCCCGAAAAATGCTTTCTTGCTTTTCAACCGCTTACTGGTGCAAATCTAGATTCTCCTCCCTAACACAAATCAAGATGCCCTTACAGTCACAAATGACTGAAATCCATCTAGGGGGATCAATGGAAACTGTGGACCTCCATGCTACAACCAAATATCCAAACTTTCCAAAAAAAGCAGACACAGCAAAGTCATTAAAAGGTTAACTTTAACAAATATTTTTCATTTTTTGAAATTACTTAGTAGTTAGATTTTCACAAAATAATGCATATTTTAAAGTATATCTAGCTGAAGTTTCTTGAATGTGCCCTTATTTGATAATGATTAATACAGCCTTCAACATTAAAAGGTTCCCCACCCCTGATACAGCCTGTTGAGTTAGAATATAATCCTGTACAGCATGTTACTGTACTGAATACTGTAGGCAACTGAAACATAATAGTAAGTATTTATGTATCTAAACTTATGTGAACATAGAAAAGATACAGTAAAAATATGGCACAAAAGGAAAAAAAAGATATCTTGTATAGGGCACTTACCATTAATGGAATTTACAGGACTGGAAGTTGCCCTGGTAGTTCGGTGAATGGCAAGTGACTGGGAATGCCCAGGAGAGCAGTGTATACTACTGTAGACTTTATAAACACTATATACATTTAGGCTACACACTAAATTTATTCATAAATTTTTCTTCCTTCAATAATAAACTTAGTTCACTATAATTTTCTTGCCTTATAATCTTATAAATTGTTTTTAACCTTTTGACTCTTCCGTAACAATACTTAACTTAAAACACAAATATCTGTACAGCTGTACAAAACCTTTTTTTATATCCTTATTCTATAAGTTTCTTTTCTGTTTAAAATTTATTTTATTTTATTTTTTTTACTGTTTAAACTTATTTGTTAAAAACTAAAATGCAAACATACACATTAGCCTAGGCCTACCCAGGGTCAGGGTCATCAGTATCACTGTCTTCCGCCTCCTTATCCTGCCCCACTAGAAGGACTTTAGAGGCATTTAGCACGTATCGAATTGTCCTCTCCTATGGCAACAATGCTTTCTCCAGAATATCTTCCTGAAGCTGTTTTACAATTAACTTTTTAAAAATATAAGTAGAAGGAGTACACTTTAATAACAATGAAAGTATGGTATAGCCAGTCCATAAACCAGCAGCATAGGAGTTTATAGTCATTACCAAATATTATGTACGCACACTATACATAACTGCAGGTGCTATACTTTTTTTTTATTTTTTGAGTAAATTTATTTCAGGGTAATGTGGGGGTATAAGCAACCAGGTCAAAATATTTGATTTAGTTAGGCAGTTTGTCTTGTGGTTATGTTCCCCACACAAAAATATACCAACACCTCCACCCTGTGACCATTAAGTGGCAGCACCCCAAATCCCCCTTTCTCCCATTTCTCATTCTCCCTCCCCTCAACATGAACGGAAATGAGTTTTTCTCCTATTTGGGCATGCATTGGAC